AAGTCATATTACACCTTCAACGATCGAACAAACGTCAACCTTAAGGACAGATGGAGAACCATGAAGAAGTTAAAACTGGTCTGAGTGGTTCAAGACAAGTTCAAGTGTTTGGATGGACTTTTTTACACCCCCACCATTATTTCTGTTGTTGAAATGAAGTTTGTTTTTGTTTTTCTCAGAGCCGTTAACGGTTATTCCTCTTATTTAGTTAAATCTTTTCAGTTTTTTTTTTTACTCATTAATCATGTTTTAATATATTGTACAGTTAAGTTCATATCTTGCCTGGTCCACACCTTTGAATCTGCCCACTTCACTAAGTTCTGGAGACAAGTTGAACAAGAGTGAAACAAGTTGACAGTTCTGTCCGATATCAGGCAATTTCACGTCACCTTCTGGTTCAATAAATTTTATTTTGTTAATTAGATGTCTCTGCATCGGTATGTGATGTGCATTTTCACTGCAGCCATGGATACAGTAACAAACTCGCCAATATAAATACAAAGACAGTATGGATTTATTTGATAGATGACGTTTACAAAAGGAAAAAAAGAAACACAGAAAGGCGCTCCCTTCACTCTGATCAGGAGGCTCTGTGACTAGGGAATCCTGTAGATGGCAGATTAGCAGTATCAAAAGAGGAGTGGGTCTGTTTCAGTCCCTCGACTGCACTGGAATTATGGACCATTTGTAACAACTGCTGTTAAGACGCCCTCAGATCCAGCCCCTTCTGTTCAACGAAAACAGGTGTTCATGGTGGAAATTTTAGTGAGTGTCTCTGAGGATGAAATGGGTTAAGAAGAGGGGAATTTGACAGTCCAGCTGTTGAGCATCTTTATGTTAAAGTGTCTTCATTCCTGATGAACTCTCCTACATCGGCCTGGTGGAACACGACAATGGACATGGGGTCCACTCGCCGACACTCTTGGGTGGACTTGGCTGCCACTCCAAAACCCTAAGAAATCAGACACATAACTGGTTTAGAAATCCCCTCAGTGAACACAAAGAGCTAAATCTGTCACATGCTCTAAAGTTAAACTGACATTACTCAAGCAAATATGATATTCTGAACATTTGGTACATAGAGTATGTGTTGAAATAGGTATGATACATACTTTTATGTGAGGCATATTTAAAATCCCATGTGTATTTGCAGCAGGAATTTAAGCCCTAAACAGCACACTGTGAACACTGTCCTCAACTACACCAGCAATATAGCATCATAGTTACAAAACTTACCAGGGGGACATCCGCCATGGAGTAGACTACAACTCCCTGGTACTGCGCAGTGTTCTCTGTGATTCTTCCAAGCCCAGACTTTAACACATGGTTTCCGTAAAGGAAAGACTGCTCTGCTCCAGGTTTCACCCACACCTTGTACTGAGACAGGACAAGAAATTTCAGGTTACTTGTACATGCATGTATATACTCAAATTAATCTTACTGGCAGAGATAAACTTTGAAAAACAAAAATGGAAACAGGACGAGTTAGGCACAAATGTGGCTGCAACTAAGGATCATTTTCATTTTGTTTTCAAATTAGTTGTTAGGTCTATAAAACGTCAGAAAATAGTGAAGGACGCCAGTCAATGTGTCCAAAAGCCCGAGATGACGTCCTCAAATGTCTTGTTTTGACCAAAATCCAAAGATATTCAGTTTACTGTTCTAGAGAAGTGAAGAAACCAGAAAATATTCACATTTGAGAAGCTGCAATCAGAAAACTTGAATTTTATTCCTTAAAAAAATACTCAAACCATCCATCCATCTATCCATCCATTTTCATCCACTTATCCAAGGCTGGGCCGCTAGGGCAGCAGGCTGAGCAAAGTACCCCAGACTGGATTACTTAGTCAAACAAATTATTAAATTAGATGGCAAATAATTCAATAGTTGACAACCAACCAATCAAGTAATTGTTGCAATTCTATGCACAACAGCTAGTGCCCTGTAATTTATCAGCACAAATCTTTATAAATGCAGGAAGGTCCTCAATATACATTATCACATTGTAAAATATCCTAGAAACAAAAGGATCTTTATATTGACGTTTCAACTTACTCTTATATCTACTCAAACTTCAGTAAGCTTAAAAAATATCCATACACGTAGTAGCCATGTGTGCATGTGAATGCATGCAGGTGTTAACATCAGGGTGCTGTCTCATAAAGCAGAATGAAGTTGTGTTTTTGCTCAGTGAAACCTGGACAGTCTCATTTTACTTCAGTCATGTTAAATATTGATGGGTTTGTGTGAGCAAGGTTATATCTTAAATCTGCCTCATAAGGACCCTCCAGTGCAGGCACATGTGTGGCTGTCGTAGCAACCCAGTTAAAGCAACTGTAGCTTTGGTAAACACTGATAAGCTTTTAGACCTGAGAGCATCACATGAGTGAGTGCAATTTCAGTTGTTGCCATTACATGAAGAATCACCAGCCGCAGCAGCACTGACTAAATCAAAACACACTTATGGTGTACCATTCTTGTTAAGTGGTATATGCCATTCTTGCTCACTGCTGAAACACATTAACAGCAGGGAGCCATAACACCTGTGCTTTTCTTACTATTGCAAAATGTCTGCTCTGAAAAAAGCCTGTTGGTACGCCACTACTGTTCTACTGCTGTGTGGCTCATACAAACAGCATGTAACTCATGTTCCACTGGCACATACCACCTGCTTACACCTGACATAACAACCATTGGGTCTACTCAGCATTAAAGGTAGTGTTTAGGATTCAGGGGGATATATTGGCAGAAATGGAATATAAGATGTATGTTTTCTTTAGTGTATAATCACCTGAAAATAAGAATTATTTGTGTTTCCGTGACTTTAGAATGAGCTGTTTGTATCTTCATAGGTGTCTGGCATGCCGAACAGTGTTGGAAAAACACTGATTTGTAATGTAAAACTGCTTTATTCAGTTAATGACTTTAATTGTTCTTTTATCTCAGACATGTTAGGATGTTACATACCATGCTTTAATCAGTGTTTTACTGGTTTGTTTTGGAGAAAAAGAGACCTTTGTGGATAGTTCAGCTCCCAAACATCTGGATCAGAAATAAGGTGAACACACATTCGCAGGTGTGGGGCAAGCAGGCCAGCTGTGACGTACTGAACAAGGTGGGAGAAACACTGATTTTTTTTTTACCAATTTTCATCACCTGAGTTCTGTACTATGAAGCCACAACTTACCCAGGGTATCTTTGCGTTATATGGCTCAACTAACCCTAACATTGGCTGTCTGGATAAACTGTACTACAAAGCTGGTTATCAACTAGTTAAGTCAACTCTGGGTTTCCTATCCAGCCACAAGCGTGTTCATGTGAAAGAGGCGGTGGTGTTAATTATGAGCGACATCATCAGAACCATGAATGAAGGAGGCTGCTGCATATCATATGAAACAAAACCGTGTCTGCGACTGCGAGACAGTTAAATGTCAATGACATCTGATGTAAATGATACTCTGATCTTATAACAATGTAGAAACATTAAAAATACTTCACAAATATTCCCTAACAACCAGGACTTACATTATGTGTAGGTATCACTTAGCTATATGTTACATTAGTATACAGTAATTTTTGCTGTTTAGTTGGATGATGATGAACATGTCACACAAAACACTTTAAAGTGATGCCAGATTGTTTCTGCTACTGAAGTAAAGGTTGGAAAAGTAGCCTAGTTAATGACTAATGAGGTCTATCTGACCAAAATGTTCCATTTATAGTAAGGGGAGCAGATTAATAGTGTTTTGATTTATTTTTCTGGTGAAATATGATACTCTGCTCCAGAGCAGGTCAGCTCTTAGCTTGCCAACTCCAAATCCTGCTTTGTAGTATAGAACTCTGGTAAAACCTCCTGATAAATGAACACTGAAGGAATTCTAACCAGGAGACGTTTCAGCCGGTGCCAATCTGCAATCCTCACCACTGCATGCCACTAAATCCCCCTAAATCTTACACACTGGGAACTTCAACAGTTAAATTAGTGGCATGATGTGTATTTGGCTGTCCTTATCTAATAGGAAAATAGCACACGTTACCAGTTTAACACACAGCAAGTGGATGCCATACGTATGTGGAACACAGCAGAGGCATGTGTCAGTAAAGCCCAGTATATACAGGTGGACAGAGGCATCTGAAATTGTGACATGCCATGAGAGGCCTGCCACATCTGATCTCCGTCACTCTTGTGTGCTCTGCTCTTCTGTAAGCTTTCCAGAGACTTCATTTGACATCAATGCTAGTTGAGGCTCTGCTAAAAAGGACGTGTCACTTCACTCAATATTTGTATTTCCTCACTGCATGCCTTACTCCAACCTCCATGGGTAGGAGCTAAGGAGAGAGGATGGGATGCATGTGACAGAAGCAAAGACTGTGAGCACCCATAGTCACCTTTGCATAGGGCGCCAGGAAATCCAGAGCTGTGATGTGCAGGCGGAATTTAATGGTCTTTGTGAACTTTCCAAAACATGTTCCCACTGACACGAGCTTGTCCCGGGATATGTTTGTGGCCAGCTTCAGAATTTTCTCACTGAGGACAGAAAACGAGGGTGCATCAATTTCAGAGTGACTTATAAGTGTTAACAGATGCCAGGACTTGTATGTACGGTAATTTATTTTTATTTACCTCATGTAGTACACACGGTCATTGTGTAGCCTGAAGCAGTAGGTGCCGTCAGGCCGGTCCACTAGAAGTTTTATGTTCTCACCAATGCTGTTGAGGGAGAAAACACACTGCTCACACACATGCATGCTAACAAGGATGCTAACATTTATGATATATTTTGAGTCGTAATAGTAAAGAAAAACATGTCCTCTATATCCACTTACTATTTTGACAGTTTCTCAAACATCGTTTTTGTCTCTTCGTCTGTTAGTGGCCTCATTTTCGATATTTATTAAACGCAACTTTAGTCGAATGGCCGTATCTCCTTTGAGAAACGTGGGTCAACACGGAAGTCGTCACACTTTGCAGCGGAAGTCTGGTGACGTAATCAGGGAGCGTAGTTCCTGGATTTTTTTTTTTACATTCTTCAGCTTTCAGTCGATCGTCCGCATTTACTCCGGCTAACCGGTCGCCATCTGGTAAGTTTATTCACTTAAAATTTTAAAAACTCTTGCTAGTATGTTGGTTATATGGCTGGTTAACAGTTAGGTGAACATTAATTTGTTTAAAAATGTCGTTTTTGTTGAACGTTGAAGTCACACCTTCGAAAACGGGCTCAGCTAGCCTGGTTAGCGAGCTGTCAGTGGAAAAAAACATGAACCTGCTGCTGTTAGCAAGCTAGTGAGCGTTAGCTTGTGAGCTAGCCGTGTTAGCAGCTGGGAATGCTAGCGCTGGTTCGCTGCAGGCAACGACCCCGCTACACTGAAGCAATTCAATTTAAATCAATTCAGACACACTGGGGTGTCACCAGTGACTCCACTGAATGGCGCCCAGTTGTGATTTTTAGCTCGGACATCGCCGTGTGAGGAGGAGACTCTTTGCCGCAGCGGTGCGAAGTTACATAACGTTCATTTGTTTGTAAATACCGATTACGTTCGTGTGATCCGAGATCAGAGGCAGAGCACCTGATCCTATAAGGATTTCAGCAATCACTAGGATCAACATTAAGCACCTCTGCACCCTATCTCTGTCAGTGAGTGATCCAGCTGCATGGGGTGCCCAGTAACAGTTCAGTGTCAGCGATGTGTAATGCCAGCCAGAGTTACAAATAAGGAAATCTACTTTGTCAGCGAGCTCTTTGCATTTGGCAGATCATTTGATCCTCCTGTCTGACAGCAATAATGGCTGCAATAAATGCCTGATCCTCTTTTTCAGATGCTGCCAAGTAAGGTTATACACAGCGAAACCATTTTATTCTGTGACACAGGGTGTATGCAGGTCCTTTAAAAGGTCGTTCCTCCTTGTTTTAAATTAAATTTGATAAATATTAGGCTTTAAAAGTAATTGAGTAGTCTTAAAATTGAAAATGTATAAGGTCTTAAATGTCATAAACAATAATATTTCTCCATTTTTATATGTATTTAATCAAAACGAGTCAACCTCTTCTGGGTGAAAGTCCACATTTCTGTTGTTACAAGTATTTAAACTTACCACTCAACCTAATACTTTATTTTTACTTTACACTTGAACAAATTTGCTAGCAAAATGTAGATTAACTGACTAATAACCCTATTTCTACATAGATCCCGCCTAGGCACAGGACCACATATAGGTTTTGTCCAAAAATCATGTTTTAAATTTGGTGAAAGATTATCTTGAGAAGTTCTTAAAAAGCATTTAAGTTAAGCATCTGATATCTGTGGATGCCCTGCTGACATGATACCATCTGAAAAATCTGTTCTTGCCGCTGTTGTCATTCTTAAACAGAAAAATAACTTGCTTGCCGTTCTTCCTGATAAACAAAGTCAGTATTCATGTCAGAACAGCCTTGAAATTAGACCGCATCTTGTGTCGTCATGATTTCACTCTTGAGTCACCATGTGGAGATCCTGCAATCGTAAAGGTCACTTGTGACATAGAATATGTACTGGCTATGTAATATAAAATGTTAAGTAGCTACAGCATTGGCATTTTCAGTCATTTTGTCAGACGACGCTCCAGATTTTCTTGAATACATTTTCTCGCCTGTCCAGTAAATGGAATAAGCCTCTAGATTATTTCAGCTCCAGGGAGATGTTAATTAAAATGGATACATTATAATGACTGCAGTGCTAATTACAGCATAATGAACACTGATGCATAGGCTGATCAGTGACCATGAAAGCTCAAGGTTATAATCAGATATGTTGTTGTTTACCACGAGAAATGACATACAAAAGGAGAAGTGAAACACATTTATCACATGGACAACCTGTGTGTATAGAAGGTGGCTGCTCAGGATCCCACACTGAAACACACATGACCCAATTTCTTTCGTTTTTAAGTTTCACCTTAAGACTTGTACCAACATTTTTCATGTTTTACAGCTTGTTATTTCGTATGATAAAGTCAGAATACTCAAAAAGTATGTACAGTAAATGTATGTTACAACAGTTAATTCTGAAAAAAAAGAAGAAGTATTTTTCATTAGAAAAGCTATTTGTACACCAGTGTCCCTCCCTCTAGGTTTGATCTCCTTATCTGTGGGTGTTATCAGAAGAGAGACCTGCTCAAGTGAAAACAATGGCATGCTAGGCACAAAACTTAATCAACTGCTGTCAATCATGTGATACAACTATCCACTTCTAAGTATTTTTATTAGGTGATAAAGAACAACTTTTATTCAGGAGAGTTAGACTGGAGGCTAAGAAAAGTATGCCCACATGTTTCTTATTCAAATCAATGGTTGCTTCAAAGGAAAAACAAAGTGTGGATGTCATGGGAAACCATGACGACAGTTACTAATTTAATATATCATGGTATGTCGGTATTCAATGAAAAAAAACTGAGTTGTTTCACATTTCACTTGTTGACAGGAGCGTGCTGCCCTGTGTTGGGAGAACAGTTCTTGTGCCAACGGTTTACCCCAGAGAAACCAGTGGTCTGTGTCTGTCATCAGTTTCCGGCGTGTGTTTGTGGCTCTGGTAAAGACTGAACAGGAAGGCAGACGCTGAGAGACGTCTGAACAGAGAGAGGAAACTGCTGCGGCTTCTTCGTCGGCCTCAGAATGACTGAGTTCTGGGTTTGTTTTAGCTGCTGCATTGCAGAGCAGCCACAACCAGTAAGTATGAAATCAACTTGGAAGAAAAATCGATTCACTCCATTTTTAATGTAGTGGCCTTGTGGGAAAATTGGTATGAAATGTGTTTTTGGTTAGAATGTAGGTTAATACACAGAGCGGTATTCTCTGGTGTTATGTAGTGTACTGGCCACGCTTTGAAGAAACGAACATTTACCATCAGACAAACTTTAAGAACATTGAGGTCGTGTTGTGTCTGAAATATATATCACATCCTCTTTTCATTTTAAATTATATAAGAATGTGGTAGGGCCTCCAACTAACCACATCCCTGTCTGACACGGCACTTGGATTCAATAAGGTTCATTATTGTGACAACCAGTTGGTATGCCTCATTGTAGTCAGCTGGTCTGCCAGCAAACAGATAAGATAAAAAGAGTGATGAATGTCGAACTCTGTCTCCGTTGTAGCTCCACAGCACATGTTTACTGCTTATAGAAGAAAGTTTCAGAGTATACAGGGATGAGCAGGCTGTTTCAGCTGGTGTTTACTTATCGTCTCCATCCTTCCTGATGAGTAATGTGGAAGTGGGATTGCATGAGGTACTTACCCATAGTCAGTTTATTACCTACAGCAGATGTTGGTCAGATAGGGGTACCACCACAGAAGCTAAGCAATGTACTGCTAAAAAGTCTAACACCTTGATCAAGGCAGTGGTAGACCAGCAGCTCCTCTGTTCAGTGATGTTAAGTTACTCATTTTCTCAGTGGAGTCTGGCTCTGTAGAGAGCAATATTGTGGTTTCAGTTTCCCGTCAGAAATCTCTGTGCGGGGGCATGGTAAAGCAGTGAAAATATTCTAACTAGAGTCCCTCTTGCGATGGGATCACTCCTGCCGTGTTACAGCAGACTGAAAATGAATTTGGGCCAGTGGCGTTAAGTGTGGGGGGGCTAATGGCCCCTTCACTACGTCCCACCCCCACTATTTCCATCCCTCTTGTTTGGACCATAACCATCTTCAAACATGACCTGCATTTTGATCTCAATGTAACACCTTGCACGATTGCGATGCTATCGTGTTGACAAAATGTGCCCACAGATAGACATATAAACACCTGCCATAAAATCAAAACCTCTTCTGTGGTAGTTCCCGCTACAGCTGGTAAATATAAGGCACACGTAAACTGATATTGATTATTTTCCGGTGGCTAAATAAGTTTTGTTGCTAACCCCTCCACAGCAGTACATTGCTTACCTTCCCTGTCAGTATTCCAGTCTGCTTCTCTAAACTGGGGGTATGCTGACCAACATCTGCTGTATTTAATATGTACCTTTATGGACAATACCTGATACAGCCCCACTTTAAAAGATCAGAACTATCTCCTTTATCTTTAAATGTAAAAATAATAATGATTTTTACGTTACTCATTTTCAGAAACGGCGGCGACGGATCGATCGCTCCATGATCGGAGAGCCAACAAACTTTGTTCACACCACACATGTAGGCTCGGGGGACATGGGCATGGGGTTGGGATCAGTAAGTTTTTCATCATCTTTACAGAATATTCTACCAACAGAGTGAAGCAGACAGAAGTTTTCAGTTAACTAACGTATACACCTTGATGTCTGTAGGTGGACCATGTTCAAACCCAGATGAAATCTAAAGGGGGCTACGCGCATGGAGGATCTGAAGGTTCTCAGTTGTAACAAGGTGAGAGATACTTGTATGTTGAAATAGAAAGAGAGCAGAACGGACCTTCATAGCAGGAAGGTCAGGGCGGCGGCCTTTTTTATGTGTGCCATTGCTATAGCAACAATTGTAGTGGGCTAACCTCGGTATTAACATACAGACTTGTGGCAAGTCGAGAACTCACTGAGTTGGGGTTTAGCATTATGTTTTCAGATAAACTATTACAGTATTTTGCTTTTTTGTTAGTCGTTGATGCTACTGCCCTTAAATGCATGTCTGTTGAAATGATGTACTGTAGCTGCCCCCGAAGAACAAGTTAGAGTCGCTGTCAGTGGACAGCTGAGAGATGGAGGGAGATAAACAATGTACAGATTAGCATATACTCACATTTAACTCTGTAAATTAAGGATTTATTTAGACAATCGTTGGAACGGTCGACTAACTGGGTGACTAACAAGACTAACTAAGATAGTTTAGGATGCGTTTTATTTTGGGTCTGTCCAGTTTGAAAGAAGTTCATTTAACGATGAGTCAACAAGGCAGTTAAGATAACGTTAGTATAAATTCGGTTAAAGTCTACGGTTGTATTTTTTCTTTTTAACAAGCACAATAGGTGTAAGAATAGGCCATAACAGAGTTCTTAAACTAGTGAGTGTGACACACTTACCAATGATGTTAGCTTTCACCGTAACACCTAACAACAATTGCTATTTTCTTTTGTACTAGTTAAATGACCACAGCAAACCTCGGATGTCCTTTCTATTCGTTCTATGTCTATGGAGATACTTTACTCAGTGGAACTGATATTCAGCTACAGAGCTTTCATTACCCCAAAGCCACACAAGCCCAGCTTAGACTTGTTCTGTGCAAAAAGCCATTTGTGACTCCTAAAAGGTCAAGTTCACTTTTATCATAACCAGAAATATAGTTTTAGCTTTTAGCTTTGAAGCTTTTGCTATTGATGAGAGAGACACCAATATTAAGGTTTAAAGACTTCCCAGTTCACATTAACAACTACAAGTCACTCAGTTGACCCCACCCATGCTTTTCATAACAAATGATGGCAAAGCATGCTTACACAAAACAGCAAGCTTGTCTTATGTGGCTTTGAAAGGAAACTGGTGAGATGCCTCACAGCACATATTTGTAGCGCACCGTATATAGTCAGGTTTTATTTGGGGAATTCATCCCTCCCTCCACGGAGGAAGAAGGAATGTCCTTGTTCCTCTTGATTAGCTTTGTTGTGCAGATAACCACCTTAAATTTCCTTGTGACAGTGACTCAGCTGTCAGTAAAATTAGATTTTCATTTGCACATTTTTTACTTGTAAGTTGTGTTTTTTTCCCACATTGGTCTGATTTGGGCAGCAGCATTCCTTTGTACTGGCCTCAGGCAGCTGGTTAATGTTCACTCTGCCTTGTTTTTAAACTCCCACTGGATGTTGCCATGGTCACTCTCACATTTTATTTCTGGACGCTGTCACTCATTGGATGCCTAAAACAGATTGAGCCCAACAATTATCAAGCATGTTTGGGAAAAGAAATACAGGTGAACAGGCCAGAGTCGTCACTCTGACATCTGTTCACTCTCAGAAAGTAAAAAACCTTGACTAGAGAGGCTCAGATGTGATGGAAATGTGGTGTGATTTGGCCTCGACACACACCACACCTGTCATCAGCATTCAAGCTCCTAACATTATCCCACTCTTTTCCTCCTTGCAGCCCTTCACAGTCTTGCGGAAACTACTGTTGTTGATATGAGGAAGCATTTTCAAAAAGCAGTTCTGTCTGTAACGGACGCTGGACCAAAAGATGAAACTACTGCTTTTCCATAATGTTGTATATATTTTTATTTTCCATTCCTTTTTTTTTTTAATGAAAGCACTGCTATCCATTTGCTGCCATACTGTTGCACTGTAAAGAGTAACTGTTAAGAATAGATAAGAGGGGTTTAGAAAGCTCATAATCTCAGTCAGACGTATGCTTGTGTGTATGCATGAGGAAAATATTTTCAAAAATATTTGCTGTCGTAGCCCATTTGGATGCCTGTATTTATTATCTGATTTGTAAACGGACCTCATGGTGGCTGGGCCACGTTGGAGATTTGAAACATTCAGTTTCCTTCTTTATTCTCAGAGGTTTATCAAAGGACAGGTAGAGGTAGCAAGGCAAAAAAACCCAGATATGTTCATTGTTTTAGTCTGAGAAATACTCATGATTCTCTGAGTTGCTTTCAGGGTTGAAGATTGCTGTCTTGTAATAAACTTGAAATGAGTAGAGTACACTGGATCATACATTGTACACTCAGTCGCTTAGGAATTTCGCATTGATTTCAACTGTTTTTTTTATACTCATTTAGATTGAAGCATATAGAATTTTAATAAACTATGAACTTCCTAATCTGCCTTCTGAAGTCATGTTCATTATTTGTTTTACTGGTGTCATTCGGCAGCTCGATGCTGCCAACACTGAGCGTAGTGGTTTCAAGAGCATTCATATTTTTCTATGTGATTCCTTCTTTTTGAGGCTTGTGTATCAACAGTAGACCCAAGCTTTAATGTTGGAAGTAACCAAATCACACTGCAAACACCAGCACAAATGTGGGTCAGGTTTGATACAGTCGGCAGTATTCTCAAACCTGTAGTCTCCCTACTGTTTGCTGTAACTGCTGTAACTTTTTCCTCTAACATCCTTTATCTCTCATGACGTAAAATAATTTTTCCCTAATGTTTTGGCAGGAATGATCTTGTCCTTATGTTTCTTTGAACCTCTTGAAGCTGAAAGATGCTACTAAATGACATTCAACCCAACATGACCCGCCTTTGTAGCAGTGTTTGTGATTGAGTTGCTTCAGTGTTAAAAGATGTTTTCATGTGATGTTAACATTTTGTCGAAAAAATTTAAAAGTACAAAAAGTTATATCTCCTTTTTTGGGGCGATATAATTTTCTATCAAAGGTTCCTCTCTTCAGGGACGGTAAATAAGTGCAGCTCTTATTGTCTGATCACACTGACTAGAGTTTCCATTTTCATCGACTGACTGATACATAGTCATCCCTCAGTGTTGTCGCATGTAGTCCAAGTTTTGACCCAGGCTCTATTGAAAACACCTTGACCTTATCTCTGCAGGTAGTGACGGAGCAGTTTTAATATGAAAATTAAAAGCATGGCCACTCCCACTTGGGGTGTTTACCATGTCAACACTGCCCATCACTATTTGCAGTCGTTATAAATCGAAAGGTCAGGTGTGTGGAGCAAACCAGCAGGCCTGGATCTGTTAATACATGGGATTATATGTACTCCATGTTCATCATATGATTGACTAACAACAGAATGTGGTTGTATTATAAAGTCGAGCAAAAGTCTGTGTAAATTTGGTGTTAAATGAGTGCTGTTGTCATCCTATTTATGATAAAAGAATGAAACATTTGGTACCAGGCAGCAGGACATACCTGATAGATAACAGTCACGTTTGTATTATCATTTACAGCCTTAACACTGCTGGTACCCACTCTCCCCAACACAGATTTAATATGTGATTCATCAGGCTGAAATGTCACAGAGCTTATGTTCCTCTTTAAATGTTTCTGTAGTAATTCTTCTGTGAAAACAGATCCACGTATGTGTAGAGTAGTTGGTGTTTTCCCAGCTCTGTGCTGAATGCTGTTGTGTGAGAGGATGTACTGGGACTGCAGTATATCATGTGACCAGCAGGCTGTGCTAGTGGACTGGTTTGAATGTGACTTAAATTTTTGTTTTCTTTTGGGGGTTCCTGTCATTTGACTTCTTTTATGATAAAGCTGTAAATACGTAAAATGAAAGTAATGGATCCATGGTTTCTATGTATTCAGGGTCATACATATTTTAGGCAACTTTTTTTGTATAACATTACTGGGAAGGCAGAGAGTTGGAGCAGTGTTTTGTGTTGTTTGTTTTCCTCAGGAACTGCCTGATATGTAGTTCCCACTTTAAGGGAAGTTCATCTGTCTTTTTTTTCCTCTTTTTTTTTCAGAATAAATAATGAGAAATAAATGTTAAATGTTGATGTTTGACCAACCGTGTGTTCCATGTTTTCACTTCAGGCCGAAACATGCTCATACTAGAGGAGCTTAATTAAAGGCAATAATTCAAAAGTACTCCCAGAAGACCCACTATCCCCAAAAATAAAAGCATGAAAGTAGCGGGGGACTTTTATTTTCAAAGACATTTACGTCATAAATTGATGCAGAGACTGAAGCATAAAAAATCACCAGAATGCAGGAAATGAGTATTCGATGCTAAAACTTTGTGGCAGAAGAGCCCCAAACTTCCAATTTCATATGATTTCCCCCCAATGTTAAAATGAAACCTACACCCTTGCTGTGACAGATTTTTTTTTAATTGTATTAATACAACTATGTTGATTTGTAAACAGCATTTCAGGGTACTTTATACCCAATTAAAGTGAAGCTAGTTTTAACAGTCCAGTATCATAACTCAGGGTTCTGGCCCCTTCCAAAGGGTCATAAAATGAATTTAAGGATTACGAGATGCTTGATTGGAGAGGAAAGAAGACCAAAAAGTTTTGCTACACAAATCTGATTGAATACTTTTTTTTCTCTAATCTTTGTTTTGTAATACAATAGAAAATTTTACCTCCATGGGCCTTTCAAAATTATTTCTCTCTTTGCAACTGCATACAACTGGTAGACATCCAAAACGGGCCAAAGGGCCCCAACAAGAGTTCTTTTTGTAGTTCACAAGCAAAACAGTTGGAAACCACCGGTTTAATCTTGACAGTACGTTTGTTACATACTATATAAATAAATGTATGGGTTGTTTTTTTTAATGAAAAATGCAAATAGTAACAGTATCTGTCCAATGAAGGGGAGTCAAAATGAAACATTTTAAAAATGTAGTGACATTTAAGTAGAGAACAAGAAATTGATTCACTCAAGTAAGGTACAAGAACCTTGAATTTGTTCTGTGACTGAGTAAAATGTCAGCCACTCATTGCTTTCTGCCACTGAAATCAACAGTGCTGGTGATTTCTTATATAGCTTTTAAGGTCCAGTGTGTATTCTTTAGGGGCATCTATTGGCAGAAATGGTATATACTTTTCACAACTATGTTTTCATCAGTTTATAATTACCTGAAAATAAGAATTGTGTTTTTGTTACTTTAGAATCAGCGGTTTATATCTACATACAGAGCGGATCCTCTCCCATGGAGTCTGACATGTTGTTCTACAGTAGCCCAGAACGGACAAACCAAACACTGGCTCTAGGTAGTGCCATTTGCATTTTAGCATGCATTTTTTGGAGTTTTTGTGTAGGCCACCGTAGTTCTCCTACATAAGTGACAAACCGGAGAAGTTTCAGTTCTGCAATCTCACTGCCAAATGCCACTGAATCCTACACACTAGACCAGAGGCAACTTGTGACTCTGTAGTCCCTCTCTAATGGCTCCCTGTGGCTTTGACCAAAACTCAGGCTACATGGAAATAAATCATGTTTATTTTTGAACATTTTAATTTTCATTCACCAATGTTGTAGGCCTAAAGTGATTCTTACATTATCCCATTGTAAAAATGTGTGAACAGCCTATAGGCTACTTCTACAGCCTGGCATCTTTTCTCTAAATTTTGGCGAACATCAAGAGCAGTGGCTTGTCTTGAGTCTCCTTAGCGAAGCTAGCCGTGGATTCCAAAGTCTTGGAGAAAAATATTGAATTTAATAGTGCATAGACAGATTTTTTTACTTTCACGGCAAGGTACAAATTATTCATAAACACCTCACTGCAGAGTCATCACCTAATGGTAAAACATATTAAAGATTAGACCTATTATAATAATGCTGATAAGCTAATTTAGACTTAATAAGGCTGTGTTACCTTTATTCAAATATATTTTGCCGCTCCAGACAGATTTAATTCATTTTTTTAGGACCAAAAATGGCTTCTCTGGTTGTAAAGGTTGCTGCCCCCTGCACTTGACCTTTAATTTCAAATGTCAGGTCTTCTCGATGAGACAGAAAAGCAAACGTGTAATTACAGGCTGCGTTACATTCAGGCACGTCGCTGATACTGTGCATGGTGACGCACACAAATGACACTTCAAAGGAGCAGGGTCATAATTAGTGTTTGCACCTGTGCTTCTCCTATGACAGATCCAGTCAAATCTACATTTGAAGTCTTGTAGTTTCCAGCAGTTAATTATCAATAAAGAAAGGCTCTTTTCATATGATTTTGTGCTGAACTGTATATTAAGCTCACATTGCCTATATTCCCTTGAGCTGTCAGCAGCCTTTAGAAGTTTTTGCAAACATACCAAAGAGATTAGTACATCACACTGTTAACCACACCTTATTACCACGTGTCTTTTTATAATCAGAGAGTGAGTCTGACAACGTATTTATTTATAGTGAAGCACTCACAACAAATTATATTTTATTTAATTTCTTCAATGTTCTGTGCTTTCTTGAATTTATTTAATTTTTATATAATATTTTAAATGTGAAAACGCACATTTTTAAAAGTCAATAAATGAAGACAGGTTACAAGTTGGCTTCTTTTCATTTATCACATCAATGCAGTGGACAGTTGACAGCAATAATGACAGTGGGTGACTGTCATCTATAATTAAAACCACTGCCAGTTATAGATTTTATTGAAGTGACACGCAGCCACCGCCTTCAGTTCATACACATGCACACAAGATATAAAGACTCCTGACAAAGTAATGTGCTTTAGTTAAAAATAGAAAAACATAAAACAGGTTATACAATATCACACAAAACAAACTGCACTATATGCTGCCTCAAAATTAAAAATATACAACACTGAGTATCTGAAAGGTCTTTAAAATTGGAAAACTAAAGACATAAATGTAATAAAATGCATATGCAGGACAAAAATATGCATCTTAAATCAGCTTAGTGTGTAGTACTGTAGTAGTGTTAATCTACTGTATGTTGGCTAAACATCCAGTAACACTCAAAGAAACAGAGGAGCAATAAGTGATCCTGCACTGAAGCGAAATGAGATCTGTTTTCTCTGTGAGCTGTGGTTTGTGCTTGGTGTTGTGTCAGTGAGTTTGAGGCACTGAACCATAGTGAACCCCAGTGATGATGACTGAGGTAAAGCTTGGCTTGGAACAGGATCTTCACCTCAGCATGCTCAGCAGAGAGGATGACCGCCTGACTGACTGACGGAGCAATATTCTCCATCCGCTCCCCCTCTCCTGTTTCTCTTTTTCAGTGGTCAGCTCAGCAGACAGACAGCAGGAGGAAATCAGCTGAAGTTTAGCAGCTGAAGTTTAGCAAAGAAAGTCTGAAGGTAAAACAGCTTCTAATCAACATGCGGTTGACACACAAAGAGTAGGTGGGTGAGCTGTTCGCTCCACAGCTACGGCATCAGTGTTTGCTGATGTGTGGACCAGTCGGAGAGCTCTTTGATGTAGCTTGGACCAAACAGATCACTGTAGTTCTCTGAGTGCAGAGAGTAGGGGTTATCATCAGCACCTGAGGAGCACAAAACAACATTTAAACACATGCAAGTACATGAACAGATGGGAACTTTAAGCTAAGGCCATGTTTTACTAAATGGAGCACTCAAGATGCTATTGCATGGCCTCGAGATTGTTTAATTCATTCCCTCGTTTTGATTAATATGCTCAGGATAAGTGTAACTTTACAGAGAGCCAGCACAACAGACCAGCTTGTCTACAGCGGTGAAGTTAGTTTAATATTAAATATTTGACGTATGGGATATGTTCAAAAGCTAATTTAATTCCGCAGTTTTAGTTAACTCAAAGTAATTAAAGATGAAAATTCATTCAAGAGCACAACAAACTGAATGTCTGTTCAACATGCCTGTGACCACTGGTGTGTTTAGGGACTGTCCTATCTACTGTCCTTTTTAACACAGAAATCTCAAACTACTGCCATCATAGAGAGTGGCAGCCCGTAAACATTTCCCATCTGTGAGTTTGTAAAATAAATAAATAAAGTTTTTAATTAAGAGTTGTGACAGGATGTCTCTCACACACAACATCATTTGACGTCAACATATTCACAAATGGTTGATTCATATTTCAGGATATAGGCCTAGGTCACTGATAATGATGCTGAGAAATTTGCTTTTCCACAAACTACCAGCTGTGAGAGTTGTGAGAGGATTTTCAAAGACACATTACAAGTGATTTGCTGTCAATATATTCATCAATAAGCAAGTATTGACATTAAAACCTTGAAATATGCATATTTACGCAATAAGTCATTGATAATGATGCAAAGGGATTTGCTGAGGGTAATGTGTGAGGGAATGTCGAAGACACATCAGAGGTGGTTTCACGTCAATATATTCATGAATGAGCAAGCTGTTGACATCACAACCTTTAAATGTGCATAATTAAGGAAATGGGTCATTCATAACCCTGATTTGCTACATTTCTATATTATTTCATTATCAGTGACCTAGGCCTATATCCTGAAATATGGATCGACCATTTGTGAATATATTGATGTCAAATGATGTTGTGTGTGAGAGACATCCTGTCACAACTCTTAATTAAAAACTTTATTTATTTAATTTACAAACTCACAGATGTGAAATGCTTATGGGCTGCCACTCTCTATGATGGCAGTAGTTTAAGATCTCCATGTTGAAAAACAAAACAGTTATTGAACATTGAAATGGGTCATATTGCACTTTTGGGAAGGTCCCTAACTATGTCACAGACGCGTTGGACAGACCTTCAGTTCGTTGGCTCTCAACCGCATCATCATTTTGGACGACACAACACACACAGTAATGTGTAACTCTGTACTGTTGAGATTGATATTTGCCATTCAGAAAAAGTGCATCATGTACATTTTCAGTCAGTGTCATTAAAACCTTAGACAAAGTTTATATCAGCAAATACTTAGTAGAGTACTTTTAAATACTTAATAGAGTACACTCTCTGTTATAGTGTCAACATGGCTAATCATTTTGACTATCCTGTTTGTGACAATGCCACAATGTCTTGTCATTCTGAAGGCACCGACATGTTAATTGACATAAATATTAACTA